TCAGAAAAGATTCAGGTAATTGAAAGCATACCAGAAAAGCTGCTCAGAAGATGATCAGCCCAACATCTCTCTTACTAAGATACAAATCAAAAGGTTTCAATTCATAAACTTCGTATTTAAACAGCACAGGAAAGGGGAGCATCAGTAATAAAAACTCACGTTACCATTAAGGAGATAACAGTCACAAAATATTTGGTCTGGAAAACAGCATGATACCACAAGCACATGAGATCAGGGTGCAAGCCTGAGTCTTAGGAAAGAGAGGCAAAAAGCTGCCATGCTTAATACAGTTGACATGACTTTTTTAGTCACAACTTTGAACTTTAACTTTTCCTTACTAAAAAGGCAATTCCTCAGAAAAAAAAAAGGCTATTTAGAAACACCACACTATTTCTAGCTGTCAGCCATTCCACAGTTAGATTCTTCAAGTGCCCTTTACTCTCCATCAGCAGTGGGAGGTGGGAAAAGGCCAACACCATTTCCCTTACAGGTTAAAAAAAAAAAAAAACTCGCCAGAAGGGAAAGGAAACAACCCAGATGAGATTTTTGTCACAAAAAGGAGCACAAAGTCTAGAGAACATATATCAATATCGAGTCCCAGCACAGCTTTAGAAGTGGTAGAGGCATTGACACGACCAGTCAGGGCCTCTCCCATTGCCAGGGCTGCACCAGGACCCTCCTGTGTGCCGACAGCTATGCAGCAGCCAAATGCTCCCAACAGCACAGATCGTTGCAGCTATGACTTGTTTCAGCTCACTGCATTCTGATTTAAGTTCTTAGTATAACAGCAGTGTGAGGACACTGGGATTTGAAAGAAAAAACATTTCTCATGTTCTTTGTGTACAAGTCTCAAGCTGTGTTTATGTGGTCACTGAATTATGTCTGACAGAACGTTATGTCTGTGACTCTCACAGAAACAAGGAACTTAGGAAAATAATACCGAAACAAAATGAAGTTAGAGTGATTTAAACACGTGTTATTCTTCCTGGAAGGTAGAGAAGTTAAACAGTCTGAATTGATTTGGAGAACAGACAAGAACTCCGCAGCACTCAGTAAGAGCTCCTCCATGCAGAGCACTTCAGCCCTTTTGGGAAACTTCAAATTCCTTCCTCTGCTGCCACTGTCCGAGTTCTCAGTTTTTGCCAATTATCTGAGCGTTACGTATCTTAAGAGCACATCCAATGAGACTATATTTAGACTGTCTGCTCAATTCATCTGTGCCAGAAAAGAACCATTATGTTATTTTCAATTACAATTACCATTGCCTGAATTTGAATTTGCAACAGTAAATGTAAGGCTAGACAGTTCTTTCCAGTCCTCTGGGAATGCTTTTACTGAAAATTACTTATTAAGGAAACAGAACTTGAGTTTATGAGCATTTTTGGTTGGTTGTTCTATGTTACTATTCCACGAGATATGTGTTTCATTTATAATACTTAAGCTACAAACTGATTTTAAATTAATTTGTTCTCAGATTACAGTTCTCATTTTGTAACTTTGCTGTGCTCTGATTTTTTTTTCCCCCGTGTTCAAAATACACATGTAGAACCAAGGCAAGTAGTACTGGCTAGAAGTATTCTTGTTCCTCTACAGAGAAGATCCTTAAAACACGTAACACAAAAAATACCCTCAACATACAGCACAAACCTTGAGTAGTTAATAGTGAACCATAAAGTTGCATGTAACAGACAGCTTCTGAATGCCGTGTCACAACAAATACTTATTTAAATCTTGCCACTTGTTTATCTTCATAGAGAGTAAAAACAAGCCACATAGCAATGATAATTCCTTATCTATGCAGCTGTGGAGTCAATGTTTTGCAGGCTGCAGAGGCCAAAGCAGCAGCCACCACCACCCATCCCACCACTTCTGAGCAGGAAGGGGCCAACAGCCCCTCTTCCTTTGCTGTACTTCATACCTCAGACTAGCAGTTTTTAACTTGCAGCAGACAGACGCTTTAGGGACGAGGATTAGCAAACAAATTCGGTCTAAGATACCTGCTTTGATAAGATACCTGCTTTGATTAACAATCTTATCTGTGTGACTAAATGAACTGATGAAGATCACTTACATCTCTTTAGCATCTGCTTACTTAGGCTGCACACTGGCTGGATCAGGGCAGTATTTCCCACCCTCAAAGTGTCTCCAAGATCTGCCTTTGTCTTCATGTGCTGTCAAGGATCTCCTTTCTGTCTCGCTTACTCTAAAACTACTCAAATCAGTGCCAGAACAGCTCATCAAGCATTTACCTTGAGCCACATCATCTTTTCTTCTGCTGTCTTAATTTTCCTCAATTGTGTTAGAACAACTTTTATAGCCCAAACCTTACAGCTGAGCTTTTCTGTACCTATAAATCTTTTCTCTTATTAGGCCATGATCTGACACTTCTTTCAATCACAGACAATTTGCCTTTTCATTGTCTTCCATACTTGTCATATTATCTTCTATCTCACCCCTTACAAGTAGAACATAAAAAAATTACTCTCTCATATTCACTCACAAGCAATCCATTAGACACCAAGAGCAAGTTACACTGTGCTAGGAGTTAGGCAGGTAATACAGTGAGATCTTCTTCATTCAACAGAGAAATGAAAGTGTGGACATCAAAATATGCAGGAAGATACTGGCTCCATTTTGCTATGTAGCATGATAAGGGCAATAGGCTGCTCATGACCATACAACACCAGTTGCCAAGAAATCACTTACAGAAGTTTCCTTAAAATTAGCAGTGAGTCAAGAAAACAACAACAAAACCCTCCTAAGAGCTACAGCTTCTCCCTCTACCAATGGGAACCTACCTGAGCAGCAGCAGACAGAAGAGCCAGCTTGCCCCTTTTTTCATACCCTCAGCCCAATGGTCCCACTGAAGTGCTTCAATCTGCTCAGGTGACACAAAGCTGAAAAGGGACTATTTCAGCTTTTATACATCTGAGTTTTAGTACAAACTTACATGAAACTGTCTTTGTATGTCCTCGTTACCTGCATATCAAAGTATATCAAAAGACAGAAGCAAATACTGCGTGCACTAAATCATACACGTCTACAAATGATACAATCTATACTGTGAACCTACCTTATAGTGAAAAAAAAAAGGAAGATTTTCTAAAGACAGTTAACTGGTTAGTGCACAGCAAAAACAAGCAAAAGAAAATAATTCCTACTGCAGAAATAGCTTCAGATGTAAATGACACTCTTTGCTTTCATTATCAGGAAAAAAATGGGGTATGACAAATTATAATAAAAAATAGGCTTTCTAGCAGAGACCTTTATCTACAACTTTCAGATTTGTATTTTAAGAGAAAACATTTTTTTCTCATTAGTAACAACCCCTGCTCCACACACACGTAATTGTTGTAACAGTCTCCAGGAAGCAGGGTCCGACTGCCCTACTTGATGCAAGATGTGAAGTCCTATACTTGGAACAGAGCAGTCCCAAAAACCGAGCAGGCTCCTGACTGAATGAGAGCAGCTCTGCAGAGAAGGACCTCAGGGTTACAGCAGGCAAACCTGCTGATGGTAAGTCAGCAGTGCAACCTCACAGTGAGTGAAGGCTAATGAATACTGCACAGCATTGACAGGAGCATGGCCAGCAGGTGCAGAAAATGACACTTCTCCCTCTTCAGCCCTCATGAAATCACACGGAGTACTGTGCACAGCTTTGGGCCCCTAGCACAAGACACACTGAGGCAGGCGAGGCTGCAAAGGCCACCAAGATGGCTGGAGACTGAGGGAGCCAGCTCTGCTCAGCCTAGAGAAAAGGGCAATACAATTCCTATTTTCAGCTACAAAATGGGGACTGAAGGAAACAAGGAGCCAGACGCCTCTTGGTGGCACCCAAAGGACAAGAGGCCTGCTCTGTGGCACGGGGAGTTCCTATTAGGTAAGAGGTAGAGGTGGGCGAGTGTTCTCAATGAGGGCAGTCAAGCAAAGGAAAGGTCCCCCCACAGCTGTGAGATTTCCACCCCTGGAGATGTTCTCACAGTTGTGAGATTTCCATCCCTGGAGATTTTCACCCCTGGAGATGACCCCTTTGAGCATGACCTATCAGACCCCAGATGAAGCCTTGCCTTGAGCACGGGGATGGACTTGGGGACCCTTTCAATCACCATCAGCCAGCAACTCAATGGAGCACCCTCAAAATGAAAGCATGAAAGTTTTTCTTTTAAAATGCTTCAAACTAGTATTAATGTCTTTTATCAGGCTAAAATTATACTTATCCTCAGCATACAGCACATATTATTAACATTGGGATTAAAATCCACACTGTGCAGCCCTACCCCCCTAATCCACCTAGCTGCTACATTCCAGCCCTGCCAACCCCCAGGGCAACTTGTACAACAGCTCCACTTCCTCAGGACTTCTCCTGAACTACTGAAGACCAGGCCAACTGCCCTAGATACTCCCCTGTTGTCCACACACCCTCACTCATTTCATTAGCAGGCATCACATCACACATTTAACTGAACTTCTGAAAAGGAATAACAACAATGGGACTTTCAGGAAGTGCAGCTGCTTAAAACTCATTTCTCACACCCTCTTGCTTGCACTTAGCCAAATATTGCGTGTCAGAATTCTGTAAAATCAATTTTCAAGTTATCCATCCAGCTCCAGAGCCTGCTTTCCAGTCTCACAGACTGAAATCTAACAAGCTGAGCAAATTTTGTCTTTGCAGTTCCTTGCTTAACACCATAGGGAAAATTCTGTCAAAATCTAGATGCTTATGCTAATAGTAGAGGAGGGAGAATAGGTCCCTTTTCAAAAATCAGCAAATTTCAAAAAAATGCTTTTCTAAAAAAGTAGATAGAAAAAGAAGTGTCTGAGGGTATCCTGTACACAGAAACAAAACCAAAGCTTTTGATTCGTGGAAGTGCATATAAAACCTTCATGAATCAGTGACAGTTTCTGAAAACAGTTTCAATATCTTACAGCTTAAAAATCTCTATCACAAATATTTTAAAAGATTTTCAGTAAATATAAAATTACTCTAAATAATACTTCAGTATAAAAATATTTTATTAGGTTTATTACTTCGCTGAATTCAAATTCACCCAGATACAGAATTATAAGGAAGAATGTAAACTGGGAGACTTGATTCTCAGAAATAGCAATCAAATCACAGAGATGGAGCAGCATCCTTTCAAGACTGGTTTCTACAGTAAAAAGCCATAATACCAAATTTGTCATAAATGAATCTGAAACAATTTCCTCTGTGACAAACCTCAAGAAGTAACAGGTCCAAGTGCCGACAGTAATCTACACACTTATCACACACTTTTCTTGGAAAGTTTGCCATAAGTGTCTGTGCAAAGCTACAAACAGATAAAGGCAAACAGCAAATATCAACATCCTGTCACTGCTTAATTCCCTCAAAATACCTTAAGCCTCCCTGCCTTGATCTGGCACATAACTGAGAATATTCTTTAAATTACTTTGTCATGCAATTGTAGTTTTCTGCCAGGATGCATGAAGGTTTCTAACAATGACGGTGGTGCTATTTGCTGATCTCAGGACTGCAAGAGCACTTATCGTTGCTGCTAACATTTAAACTCAAAATATGCTATGCATTTTTACACTGATGTGATTTCCACATTGCATCATCCCAGAAGTATAAAATACTGAACATTAAAAATCCTAATATTAACTTGAAAGCAAAACTGCTTTTCTCAATACTTTTAGTATATTTTTGAAAAACATTTTTTGATACAGACACCTTAAAGTTCCTCGATGTTTCAAGTGGGGTTTTTGCCTAATGTCTCCTGATATGCAATGAATCTTCTCAAATTCATCTTCACGTTGTCAAGAACACAAAGCTGATCTGTACTATATTGTCCTTTGCCTTCTTTTCGTATCTGAAAAACCAAAAAAAACACATACTTTCACTAATGGAGAAGCTTTTCCTATTAGATCCCCAGAAGCTGGTAATGTTTAGAGGCTCTGTAGCAAGCCATCCTATGCATCCATTTTCACAACACCAACACGTTCATGTGTGCACATTCACCACTAGCAAATATTTCTGCAAGTCACTTCACTCCAGTACATTTCTGCTTAAAACTAGGCTACAAGTGGCATCCTATTTCACTCCTAAATCTAAAACATGCACTTACTAACTGCTTTTCAAATTAAAGATCTTACACTCCTAACTGATCAGATGACTGTAGCCCTATCAAACATCTATACGTGCCTAGCGATAGGACTATGAAAGTCACTTCTCAGACTTCATCCAACTAAGAAATAATGCACTGAAAGCTATTCTCTAGTTAAGTCAAAGCTACATTTAAAATTACAGCTTACGATTTTGGCAGTTCTTGGAAATACAGGATAATTAACCAACAACAGAACAAAAATCCGCATGCAACCACTGCAAGTTAAAACCAGAAGATGTGAATGTAAATTCAGAAGGGACTTTTCCTTCCCAACAAATTAGCTGCTCTCCTCCAAAGACATCTGAAGGATTATTTTTACAAGAGTTTCAGAAAAAATAATCACTTGCACATCATAGACGTTGCAATGCAGTGCTGTTACCTTACTGATTCTGTAAACCGCAAGGTGAGTGCATTTGGTTTCTCTAAAGCAGAATAGCATGAATTTAATTATTTGCTTTCATTTTTTTCCCCATCATCTCATAAAGTCATACATTCCTGCTTAATTATCTCTCCTAGCAGCCTAAATCACAAACCTGAACCCACGCAGCGAACTGAGACACCAAGCTGGCTGCATCTGATGCCTACCCTCATTTTGAACACTGGCTGAAATTCTTTCAGCGCTGGAAGCAACTTCATCTGTACTGCTGCTTTTTCTGCTTCTTTACCATCTGCAAATACATCAAAAAGGGCATCCAAGGCTTCCCCTGCTACCACAAGAGAAGACTCCTTCATAGCCACCTCAAGAAGAAATTTTCCGATCATCTAAATACAAGAAAGAAAAATTGAATTTTCAAACACTGCGTAAGATAATTTTTAAAAGCATCAAAGTTTCAGGCTTGCCACACAAAGTAGGCTCTTTCACCTTTAGTGTTTCAGCTGTATCTTGTACTTTGGCCAAGACACTGCCAGAAATTCCAAGGATGCTCACTACGTTCACTCTCACACTGGCATTGCTGCTGTGAATACTCGCTTCACATAAAGCCAGGAGCTGCTCAGGAGTCATACACTGATCAGCAAGGAAGAAGAAAGGAAGGAAAAAAAAGAAACATGTATTAACATTTCCAGAGAAATTTTAAAATATGAAATTTAAGTAATGTGCTTCTACACAACACTCGGGCAAATCTGTAATAGGAAAAGAGAAATTCCTATATTATGAAGGGTACATGGATTCTTGAAAGTGTAATCAATAAGAGAACAGTTAAACTTTCCCTTTCAAATTCATAAGGTGTTTCTTTCAGAACTTAAGCAAAGCTTTGTGAAGCTGAGGGAAAAAAGTTGAGCCAAAAGAGATTTTCACAAATCTACCCAGCTCGTTAGCTATCCAGCTCGTTACAACTTATAGAAGCTCATATTTCAGTTTAAAGCCAGAAAGGACCAGCAGCCCACCTAGTATTACATCTTGTATAACAAATCACTAGGCTTCATTTCTATATTTAGCTTATGCCCAATGCTGGATATTTAATTCAAGTCCAACAAACATTCTAGAAAGACCAGCTTCAACTGGGTGACATCAGAAAACAAAGAATCCATACGTCTATGTGGTGTTAGCAGACAATGTACTTGTCATTCTAACCATCTCACCCAAAGTTTTTATTGCTACTTTAATTTTTAAAACATTTCACCTGTTTATATATAGCAAAGTGTTCCTGTAAGGTCTATGAATCTACCGGAACATTTGAGCTTGATACCTCTTACCTGGGAGATGTTCTTTGATGCCATTGTTTGTAGGAGAGCCCTCAAAGCACTGGTTATGGCTTCCAGGAATTCTGTGTCTTCAGGGAGTTCTGTTAAAGAATTGCACCCAAAGCCAAAAGTTAAATGAGAAGATAAGGATACAAGAAGCATGAATTCCTTAATCCTTAACTTTTTCCTTCAGGTACTACCAAAAACAGGAAAAGCTAGATTTTCAGTAACTGATCTTTGTAGTTGTAACCATAGTGATTTTTTTTTTAAATTCAGTAGTAATTCTATCTGGAAATTAGATATATTGTTCTTTCATGGCACTTACTTTCACAGAATCGTTTGTGTGAAGGGATCCTTAAAGGCCATCTAGCCCAACTCCCCTGCAATGAACAGGGATACCTACAGCTCCATGAGGTGCTCAGAGCCCCATCCATTCTGACCCTGAGTGTCTCCAGAGGTGGAATATCCACCACTTCCCTGGGCAACCTGTGCCAGTCTTCACTACTCTTTTCTTAAAAACATTTTTCTTGTATCCAATCTAAAACTTGTGCAGAGCAGAGGGGCAGGATCACCTCCCTTGCCCTGCTGGCCACTCTTTTGATGCAGCCCAGGATACAGTTGGCTTTCTGGCCTGTGAGAGAACACTGTTGGCTCATGTCCAGCTTGACATCCACCCAAGTCCTTTTCTACAGGGCTGTGTTCCACCCTTACACCTTCCAGCCTGTACTGATAGCAGGGGTTGCCATGACTCAGGTGCAAGACCTTGCACTTGGATTTGTTGAACCTCATGGAGTTTACATGGACCCACTGCTGGAGTGTGTCCAGGTTTCTCTGATGGCATCCCATCCCTTGGGCAGATCAACTGCACCACATAGCTTGGTATCATCCACACACTGAAGGTACAAAAGTGTGTTTCAGGACACCCTGGTTAAGACACTTGTTAAGACTGTTCTGACACCACAGTCAGAATAGAAGCTTGAAAATCATGTGTCACATGTGGCCATATTACAGGAACTGAGAAAATTACAGAAGCTGACTGAGTTCTTTAACTCCATTCTTCTAAATAGGCTATTTTAGACACTCAGAACATTGGGCTCTTTCCAACTCATGTAAAGAGCATGCTTTCCAATGGTTTAACAACCTTTCAGAAACGTACAAATCAAACAGTGCATTATTCCTGTTAACTACAAATTCATCAGTAGGAGCCATCACCTTCAGCGCACATTCTGCATTCTTCAAAGCTTTTTATTTTTTCTTTAAGGTGTTGCAATTTTCTGGACTATTCCAGAAGCAGAAACTCTTGCTAACTTAATACACATCTCCACCTCCCACCTAAGCTACTCAATCTTTATTTTCTTTCTTTAACCTGTAAAACACCTGGTGACTTATCAGCTCTAACAGTTTCCATTAGTTAGCATTTAATTACTAGCAAAATATTTAAACTAATTGCAGATTCTCTGTCTTCAGCTTGTCATTTCTCCAGTTTCACTTAAGAACTTCCCGACTATTCCAAAGTATAATATGAAAATCTTGCTTATGTTTTCACATTTATTTTCATTTCTTGCATTTTGTTTTTTTCAAGCACTACAATCATATCACATGCTTTTAATATGACATTTAAAAATATTTTATTTTGAAATTTTTTTTAAAAAAGTGTGTTTTGCAGGCAGATGCATCCTCAAGCAACAATGCAGCGTCATACTACACAACAAATAAGGACTGCATGCACCATATTTGTGGTTACAAATGAAGTCACTTGAAGGAAGGGAGGAAAACCGATCCTCTGAAGCTTTTAGAAGACAAGAAATGACAAAGCTATGCATATGCTAGACTTCAGATCCATCTTAGGAAATACATTTTCTGTCAGTTTTGAGATCTAGCAGGTTCCTCCAGTCTCTAAGAATATCTCTGATTTACTGATGAGCCATATCACTGACCTTAAAAACACATTAGAACAGTCTGAATGAAGCACCTTACCAGGGAACCAATTCACTGAGTTGGAACCAGCTGTTTTTTTAAAGTCTTGGTTCAGTTTATCTACTATTAGTAACAGAAATCATATAATAAATGGTCCAGCAGTACTGTTTGAATGACTATGATCTGATCTAAGGGATTGCAAGAGGTAGCTGGAAATGCTAACTGCCATGTACCTGCACTAGGTTCATCCATTATGGATACTAGCAGATCTATAGGGAAACCATCATAGTATCTCTATGAAATAATGTGTCTTGGACGAATTACAGTGGATGCATGATAGTGTTCACCAGGGTATATTTGATATTCGAAACCAGTATCATTTTTAGAAAAATTAAATTATCCAGTTTATTGACTTCTCCATTCAAACTGAACCACCATCATAACATGAAGTAGTTATCTTATGCACATTTGCACATTTCCTTACTATAGAAATGTTTTCAATAAAGCTGTACAATCACATGCATAATGCATGTCCTGGAGACAAGAAGGCTGCCATCTTTCCTACTGCAGTATGCACATGCATTCTGAAGATCTTTGCAACAGCCACTTTTACCATTATTTCAAAAAATTCCTAGAAAAAATGATGTGACAGACCC